GTCTGGCCTCCGCACTCCTTTAACGAGGCAGCCCTGAAGCTTGGGGCAGCGGGAGTTTCTTTGCACGCAGCTTGTGCGGCTGGCTGAGTGCCTCTTCTGCTTGCCCACCTCTCGCCTCTGCACCTCATCTTCTTTTCCTGCCAGGGAAGCTGGGGACCCTGCCCATGAGTCTCCATTTCATCCTCACAACAACCTTGTGGGTAGGTTAGGTAGAGAAGGGGAGATTTGGCCTGGGGTCACTCAGCCAGCAGAGGGAGAATACAAACCTGGGTCTCCCCACATCAATCTGCAACTCTGACCACTGTGCAGTGCTGCCTCTACTGATCTGTAATGTTCCAGAGGTGTTGTAATGTAATACTCAGTTTCTCAGTCTTGATCCTGGTTGTGTGGTGGGCTAGTTGTGACAAATGGTAGGGAAGCTCAGTATTTCTGTATACAGTTGTAGGGGCTTTATTGCAATGTGCTATGGCCTGATATTATGTTCTTATTCCAGTGTGGGGTGTGTGGGGTGTGTGTGGGGGGCAATGGAAGCTGAGTGATAGGGTCCCTCCAAGTGATTGCCAGAAGTGAGATGCGTCCTGGTCTTGTGTCTTACAGATAATCTTACAAATAGTCCTTTGCATTTATCTCATGCTTTCAACTTTAAAAGGATCATTTATGGCCTGATATTATGTTCTTATTCCAGTGTGGGGTGTGGGGCGGGGCAATGGAAGCTGAGTGATAGGGTCCCTCCAAGTGATTGCCAGAAGTGAGATGCGTCCTGGTCTTGTGTCTTACAGATAATCTTACAAATAGTCCTTTGCATTTATCTCATGCTTTCAACTTTAAAAGGATCATAATGCTGATTGTGTGAACTTAGGTAAATCACGAGAGGTAGAGCAGGAAGGGTTGCATCAGTGCTTAGTTCTTGTGGCCCTTTCTTACACACCCAGGGAAATGCTGATCGCCACTTTGGGGGCAGGAAGCAATTTTTCTCCAAGCCAGTTTGGCCCCCAGTGATCCTGGAGGGTTTTTTAAATCATATTCTGGGCATGGAACAGGGGTCACTGGGGTGTGTGGGGGGTATTGGTGAATTTCCTGCATTGTGCAGGGGGTTGGACTAGATGACCCTGGAGGTCACTTCCCACTCTATGAGTCTATGATTCTATAATTCAACCAGGCTGGCTGTGGGCACGCCAGCACCTCTGTCAGGCAGAAGCGCCTGAGATCCTCCCCCCCCCTTTTCCTTCGGTCGACTTGGAGGCGAAGGGAAGGGAGAGGGGGGAAAGAATGGATCCCAGGTGCTTCTGCCTGTCAGAGGGGCTGGTGCACACTTAGGTGATGTCAGGGGGTGTGGCATATGCTAATAATTTATGCTAATGAGCTCCTGCAGCTCTTTTTCTACGAAATGACCCATGGCTTTGAGCATGTCCTTCTCAAATAAAATCTCCCATGGCAAACCACCTTTCAAAATAAGGGATCTTCAAAAAGTAGACTGCGGTATTGCACTGTGTTCATTTGCTGAAAGAAAAAGGTGTCAAAATTTTCCTAAGTACACCACAGGGGTATCAGTCTCCAAGTGGGACCTGGGGATCCAAGTGCACCCAAGCACACCTGAAGTAGCTCTCTAGGTCCCGCCAGGCAAAAACGTCTTATATTGGCTTTATATTTTATTACAACAGTTCAAATGTTAACACTAATTATATTTTAGCTTTTAAGTCGTTATTACCCTATGAGATTTGTAACCTTCCCTGGCAGCAGTAGGAGACATTTCAGAGAAGAAACAGTGGTAAGTGGAAAGTCTATCATATTTTTATCCCACCGAAGGTGCTCAGGGGAGCATCCATGGTCTCCTCTCCTTTTCCAGGACAGATGCAAGAGTTATAGAAGGAAAAGGAAATGACTGATGGCCAGTAGAGTTTCATAAACTGTAACCCATGGCTCAGTGCATCATACAGGCACCGAGAGAACCTAAACAGGTCTACTTAGAAGTAACTCCAATTTTATTCAATAAGGCTTATTCCCAGGAAAGTGTCTTCAGGACTGTGCCCTAAAATGGATCACTGATTAAACACAGGGTGTTAATAGCTGATTCTCACTCCCCCCCACCATTAACTTTGTGATGAATTTACCCAGAACCTAACAGAATTCTGGATTGTACCACATCTGCCTGCATGTAGGGGAGAATGTTCTGGGAGATCCAAGTTTGAATCCCCCTTCTACCACAGAAGCTCACTGGGTGACCTTGGGCCAGTCACTTGCTCTCTACCTAACCTATCTCACAGGCTTGTTGTGAAGATGAAACAGAAGAAGGAAGATTGATGTTAACCTGGTTTGGGTACCCACTGGGGAGAATATCAAAAAGAAGTAATTTCCAGTATACTCATTTAACAATAACAACACAAAGCATGGATGTAAGCAAACCAACTCATAAAGGACAAAATGTGCAGGAATCAGACCCATTAGTTGTATTTTATCTTCAAAACACCAACATTAAAGTTTTATAGCATTATTTACCATGCAATCCTATGCAGTCCTAAAAATCAAATTGTCAACATTTGCTGGATTATGGAGAAAGCAAGAGAGTACCAGAAAAAGATCTACTTCTGCTTCATTGACTACGCTAAAGCCTTTGATTGTGTGGATCACAACAAACTGTGGCAAGTCCTTAAAGAGATTGGAGTACCAGACCACCTCACATGTCTCTTGAGAAACCTGTATAAGGGTCAAGAAGCGACAGTTAGAACCGGATATGGAACAACTGATTGGTTTAGCATAGGAAAAGGAGTATGACAAGGATGTATATTGTCCTCTTGCTTATTTAATTTATATGCAGAGTACAGCATGTGAAATGCCAGCCTGGATGATTCAGAAACCGGAATTAAGATTGCTAGGGAAACATCAACAACCTCAGATATGCAGACGATACCACTCTAATGTCAGAAAGTAAAGAGGACCTAAAGAGCCTCTTGCTAAGTGTAAAAGGAGAGAGCAAAGGTTGGCTTGAAAGTCAACATCAAAAAAATAAGATCATGGCATCCAGTCCCATCACTCCTTGGCAAATAGAAGGAGAAGTTGTGAAAGCAGTGACAGACTTCATGTTCCTGCGATCCAAGATCACTGCAGATGGTGATAGCAGCCAAGAAATTAAAAGACGCCTGCTCCTTGGGAGGAAAGCGATGGCAACCCTTGACAGCATAATAAAAAGTAGACATCACCCTGCCAACAAAAGTCCGTATGGTCAAAGCAATGGTATTCCCAATAGTCCTGTATGGCTGCGAGAGTTGGACTATAAGGAAGGCCAAGCGCCGAAGAACAGATTCTTTTGAATTATGGTGCTGGAGAAGACTCTTGAGAGTCCCCTGGACTGCAAGGAGATAAAATCAGTCAATCCTAAAATAAATCAACCCTGACTGTTCCCTGGAAGGCTAGATAATGACGCTGAAGCTCAAATACTTTGGCCACCAAATGAGAAGGGAGCACTCACTGGAGAAGACCCTGATGCCGAAAAAGACTGAAGATCAAAGAAGAAGGGGACGGCAAAGGATGAGATGCAACGAACATGAAATTAAGCAAACTCCGGAGCACGACAGAAGACAGGAGGGCCTGGTGTGATGTGGACTCGACTGTGCGACTGAGCAACAACAACCTATGCAGTCATTTCAGTTTAATACCAATGGTTTCAACAGATTTAGAGTGGATGAATTTTACAGGGCATTGCACTGTTAAATACCTATCATGTTTCTTTCTAACAAGGCTTCAAAACTAACCACCCCAGATGGAAAGCAATACTTTCCAAACCACTGCTCTCCACCCCCCAACGACCTGCACCTAGCAATTGAGAGATCATTTCCTTGCCTTTGGTCCTGGTCACCCGGCAGGAAAATGCGGGGGGGGGGGGGAGGCTCGTGGCTGTTAGCCCCGGGGCTAAAAACCGCGCGGTTGCTTGATCAGACCTACCGATCGAGGTCCCGTGGTAGGGGGGAGGTGCCGATCAGTCCACTGTCCTGCGGCGCGGCAAAGCGGGGCGCGGGGCAAACGGATTGGTTGTTTTTTTATTTAAACTCAAATGTGCGCATGCTCCCGTGGAGACTTTGAAAAAAAAAATTTCCCGAGGGGACATGGGCGGGCGCCGGAACTACCTCCGGAAACGCGATCAGATGCCCGCCCTTACCCCGCGGTTTCAGGAAACTAGTACCTCCGAGGTACTAGTTTTTTACTGCGCGTCTTCGGCGGGAAGCCTCGGTTGCGCCATGGGAGCCCGACGCTTCCCAGATGTGCTGGTGAGATCACGCCCGGAAACTCCGCCTTCCGTCCCTCTATCTTCCGTCCCTCTAGCGTGCCTAATGCTCCGTGTGACCGCAGCCTTTGTATATCAAGACAGGTCACCAACATTCTTTGAACTCGCTGTTCCTCAGCTGCAGCTCTCCCTTTTCCTGCATATTAGCAAGGAAAGCATTTGCACTGCTTCCTAAAATGTTGAATATTTTTCTTTTGAATAAAATGTTGAATATTTTGATAGCTGGCATAGGAGTTGCTGAGCTTCAATATACGTTGTATGTTTTTATTTTATTGCGACATGGAGGACTAGTAATTGCTGTAGCAATTTGAGATGTGTTCTAGGTAGGCTAGTGAGAGTTGTGCTATCCAGTTTGTTATTGCTCCTGATCAAAGGACAGGCTTGAGTGGCTGCAGGAGCAAATTCAGATCACTTTCATAGAATCACTCCAAACTGAGTGTGGGAGAAGGTCAACGGGGCTAGCATTAGTTGGAGGAACTCTACCCTGTGGCCTTTACCTTCCTTCCCCCCTTTCTTACACATCAATTTTAACTATTCCTCAGCATTCATTTTAGTGCCAAAGAAATGCCTCAATCCAATTTCCAAAAAGCACAATTTATTCTCAACACAGACATTTAGATTATTCATATCAGTGTAAAAGACTTGAAGGAAATTTGAATGTTAGTTATATCAAGATTTCCTTACATGGCTGTAACACAGATTTCATTACATGGCTATAACACAGATGTGTATACTTTTCTAGTCCTTATATAAATCCTCTCTTACAACCACAGCCTTACTGTTATATAGTTTGATCCCTTCACTTTTGTCCTGCTCATTTTGCAGTATTCAGGATAGGGGTTTTGCCACTTTTATGTTCTACACTGTGCTTCCTACAGTTACTGCTAAATAACTTTGTCATTATTCCTACCCCAAATATTCCAGGGGGACATTTCTTCACTCTCACTGATATTCTCCAGCCAAAAAATACTACTTCTGAAATGTTTGCATAAATAAACAGGAAGAGATCTTCAGCATATTTACATACAATTATGTAGTTATTTACATCTTATCAAAAGTATCCTGTAACTTGCCTGACAAGGACTGCTGTGTACCTTGGGAAGCTGCTTAACTCTTGCTAACCCAAAGTTATCTAATTAGCATATTGTGTATTTTTGTGTTTCACAAAAAACCGGAACACGCTAATTCACTTAATTTTGTTTTTTGAATGCCTGGGTAGCAGTATAGCAGTATACCTGAGAGTAGCATCAGAGAGCAAATTACGGCTAGGCAATATGTAAATTCAGTATTCATTCAGAGGCCTGCAAAGATGAATCACCTAATTACCATACAACAGCTTCTGATTGTAAGGAACATCTATATTTCTGATAGATGTAATGCATGAAGTTGTTCCCTCTGATACTGTTCAATATTCTTCTCAGCCTCTTCATCCAGTACTTTTCGTAAGCACAGAATTAGTTCTTCAGTTCCTTCACCAGTAAGTGCCGATATAGGAATGATTTCCTTGAATCTTACAAGGTCTGCTGGAATCATCGCTTTGGGGAATGAATGTATATGATCTGAAATGATACATGTTTATAATTGATATGCACAGGACAATGCTGCTGTAAAATTCCCTGGAAATGTAATTTCACAACAGAAACAGAAGGTGTAAATATAACAGATTCACTGGAACTACAGACTGCACACCATTCTTTTAAAACCACAGCTTTCCAGTATGTTATTCCATAATTTTGTAGTACTTAGCTCAAGCTTATTATCAAGTATGCCCCAAAGATAAGGCAAAAAAGAAAGATTTATGCAAGATCAATAGCAGTCTTGTTTGAATATATTTCATTCTAAGAAGGTTGAGACAAATGGTTTCTGTACTGTTTGGACATTGAAAGATGGATGCTGAAGCGCTATGCTGAAAAGTATTCCCCCCCCCTTCCATTATCCTACTACATCTTAGCCTCTCTACCACTTTGTGTAGCAGATTAGGGAAAAAATATGGTTGCTTGGCCAAGGCTATGTAACGAGGTTCATAGCAGAGTGGGAATGTGAAGCTGTCCCCCAATGCGGTGCCCATGGGCACCATGGCTCCTGCGGATACCTTTCTTGGCACCCGCCAAGTGTTTTAGAAAGTAGGTGGAGCCAGGTGGGGATTTTGCCAAGCAAGACTTCTGATTGGCTGTGCAGATTTTTAAAAAGTTGCGTTGGCTGCAGCTGCCACCACACTACTGATATGTTCACAGTATGACTGAAGATAAGCATCCTGTTAAACAGAGGTTTTGCCCAAAATGTTAGAATTATGTATTATCTCACTCCCTAAGATTTTGTGGTTGACTCTGCCTCTTATGGCAGCCATTTTGTGGTTGTGCCCACCATCCAATGTCAGAATTCCAAAGGTGCCCAAAAAAGCTCAAAAAAGGTTGGGGAAACCTGCTCTAGGTAGTGTGCTATATGGGCATTGATGTGACATGGCTAATAGCTAACACTGAATTTGCATTAGAAAGGAAACTATCTACAGACTTGGTAAAGCAAGAGCAAAGTGCCCATCCGTTTGAAATTTTATTTTACCTCAGACTTCTTCTTTGGATATTTTCCCCCCTCAAGATCACTAAACAACACATACTGCTCTCGCTTTTCATCCATTAGTTTTTTTGTTGTTATTTTGCCATCAAGTCATGGCTGACTTATGACTAACTTATGGCAACCCCACAGGGCTGATGTATGGCAACCCTGTGGGGTTTTTCAAGGTAAGAGATGTTCAGAGGTGGTTTGCCATTGCCTGCCTCCATGTCACGACCCCGATATTCCGTCGTGATCTTCCTTCCGAATACTAGCCAGGGCTGACACTGTTTAGCTTCCAAGATCTGATGAGATCACACCAGCCTGGGAATGCTCCCTCAGAAGTGATGCCCATAGTCAGGACTTTATTTCTGTAAAAATTATAATTATCTGGCTACCGCCTTCAGTAGAATAGTTGGGTAATATCTTTAATACAACAGCTGGATTCAAAGATTGTGGTTCTTTTGATGCACATCCATTTGTTGTGCACTTAAAATGCCAGCTCTGCTGGTACTGGTGGGCAGGAAAGTCAAGCCACTGCAAAATCAATACCCATTGGTCACCCTTAACCTTCTTGCCACTGTTTATGTTTAGTTTTAGGGATGGGCATGAACCTAAAAAAACCAGTTCAGTTCAGGGTTCAAACTGAACCCTGAACCGAATCGAAAGGCCCCCACCCAAACCAAGTCAGTCTGGCAAGTTCAGTTCCCTCTTTGTCCTGGCTGCGGATGGCCACAGCCAGGAGAAAGGGGGGATTGCCTGGGAAGGGTTAATGGGTCTGTTTCGCTTCCCCCCCCCCATGATATGGCTCACAGTCATTTAAATCTAACAGCTCAGCTGCAGACCCTGCACCACTCAGCTGTTAGGTTTAAATGGCCCCAAACAGCTGAACTGTACAAACGCCCGGCAAACGTTCGGGGAAGACACCTTCCCTGAACCGGCCCAAGTTCATGCCAAATTTTGGCTCGTGAGCTGATTCATGGCCATACCTATTTAGTTTTAGTTTTTTGAGGACTGCATTTTAACCATATCTGGTTTATGTAGTTTACAGATGATTAATAGCAGACCCAGACACTACAAGTGGAACCATGATTCTCAGGGCTGCAAGTCCCACCTTACATATGATCCGCTAAAAAGAGAAGAGACTTTTCTGCTCCCTATCCACAAAAGCAGGCCATTATAGACAACAGCTGTATACATAGGATGAGTGAAAATTTACTACACCACTGAAGTTTTGTAAAGGCGTGATTTCTATTCACCTACCCTGCTGGATTGGGATCTGCATGTGTAACAGCGCTCCATAAAGTCAGAGCTGTGCTTGCTGATTTCAATGGTCTTAGATGGACGTAATTCTGCTTAGGGCTGCACTACACAGTGTCTATTGTGTGACCAGTGGGTACTGGGTGCACATGTATACTTGAGTCATATGAACTGTATTAGCAGTGTACATGGGATGGAGATGTATATCTCCACTAAGTATCTGAGGATACTGTGGATGGTTATTATTAATTATTGACTACTAGTCACATGGAACATTCATTACAATAAGACTTCCGCAGTTCACTTTTCTTTCAAGGAGTAATGGCTATCTTTCCACAAATACTGATAACTCTTTAACAGCATGATGTCAAAGGCACATGAATATCTTATTATAAATAAAAGAAAACAGTCAAAAGCACTCTCACCTTGAGGGTTCTGTAATTGTTCCATAAGCTCATTAAAGTTTCTTTGTGCATTTGGCAAATCCATTTTATTGACAGCAAGGAGGGCAGGTTTGTCTCGAAGTTCTTCTTTATACAATTCCAATTCCTTCAAACACAAAATCCAATTTGCACTTGTAAGTAGCTTTCCTCAAAAGTATTTTGTCCTTTTACAAGTCTTTTCATTTAACTCTGTAACTACCACCCAATACATAATGTTTAGGATATGTTCAAGGTGAATGTATGCCTGTTGACTTCCAAATTAATCCAATTAATCTGCTGAGGCTCAATAACCTGCATAAACAGGCTGCACATCTGAGGTACGTTCTCTTTAGAGGGCATAGCAGAGTCCATTAACCGCTCTTGATGTTACAGGAGTTTATAATTACATTGCACGTGGTATTTGGGGCAAAATTACTGTGCTCCGTAAGAGTTGGACATTATACTTTTATTTATTATTTGCATTATTTACAGTCTGCTTTTCTCACTGAGACTCAAGGAGGATCACACAGCACAAGACAATATAGGTCAACAGGAATGGGACAACGCAATAGGTTTTGGATTACAGAAATCTGAAAATGAGCAGAAATCTGAACACAGCTGAAATCAAGAATGACTATTTACATGACACATAAAACAATGCAGAAATTATATAGTAGGATCCTACCTACAGGAACAGACAGAATATACTATACAGAGTGGTACAGTCCACTGTTCCTGTCCCTTTACCAAAGCATCTTTCTGAGCCATTTTGTCACATTACTGCCCTACTGTCTAATTTAAAAAGCCCTTCTGAGTAATTTGCATACTTGGTGGAAAACCAGGAGGGTGGCTCCATGCAATTGGGAATCCTGGAACTAGCAGAGTTTCTGACCATGTGGAGAGAGCAATATGTGCACACTTTTGGGTGCATGCAGTAAAGAAAATATTTAATGGAAGAGATACTAGATGCATGTCAGATCACAAGCAAAGGGGATTTTTTTTAGCTAAAGAACTTGCATTAATAGAATATATACCAAATGTGGCTGGTGAAAAAAGGAGCACTCACCACATGGAACTGCTTGCCAGTTCACGATTCTCTAGCAGTATGCCAGAAGGATATGCAAAGTAGTTAAGCTGCTACTTCACATCAGAAATTACCAGTGTACACTGTATGTATATATGAGCCCTTTTCAGGCATTCTAAGATCTACACAAGGTAGTAGGGAGAGCAGCATTGTTGCAGAAAATTCCATACCAACCCATGTGCACTCAAGGAATACAGTCTACATGTGCTCAAAGATATGCATGTGTGGCTCTCTCCACATGGTCAGAAACTCTGCTAGATTCAGGATACCTGACTTGAATGCAGGGACTCACAAATGAGTCTTTTAAATATTGGTACCTCCAGAACAAGGAATCTTCTGAACAAAAAAAGGCCCCAAACCAAAGATTTTATGTTAAGGGAGGATGTTGTCAATAAGGTATATGCATCATGGTGTATATATATACAGGCAAGATGCCACTGCAAACGTGATATTGCACACTGAGTAATATAATCCTTTCATTTCTGAATTTGTGGGGATGCTTTTTCTACGCACAGCATATTTTGTTAACAATCTGGAAAAATTGAGCAATTTGGGGAATTAAATTTCCATGTAGGGAATGAAAATGATATTTCACTTCCATCAGAAACTGAGGATTCTGCACTATAGATATAAAAATGAAGAAGAGGGAAAATCCATGTCAAATAGATATAATCAAGATACTGGGACTCTCGCAGATACCTAGACTTTTCCAAAACTCCAAAACATCCCAGACAACTTCCATTTGCTAGCAATCACTGAACTTGCAATTTAATATGTTTCCTATGAAACTATTAGGAGGCTTCGCACTTAAAATTTCCTTCTATATCACCAAGGGAGGGGAATTGTGGGAAAATGGCTGCCAGCTGTTTCAGATGTCAGCTGAGCCTTTTCTTCCCTCCTGTTGCAAGTACTTAAAGCTTCAGTGTGACCAGAGGTATCAGCCCTTTGGCAAGAGGCAAAGGGTTCTTGGCTTGTAGCTTGCAGCCTGCAGTCTTTTTGATAAACCACCCCAGCAGATCCCAGACCAGTATACTAAAAGGATCTTCTTCTGTTAGTTTGCATTATAGTTTATTTAAATTGTACTGCTCCTTTTGTAAGCTGCTTTGGGTCCTCACTGGGGAGAAAAGCAGGACAAGAAGTGTCCTAAATAAGTAAATTACCATCAGCAACCTTACTTTTGTTAGTAGTATTATAGTTTCAAAGGCCGTTCTGAATGGTGTCTTACAGGAAAGCTGAAAGCCAAATACATCAACCTGAAAAAAACAAAATATAAAAGTGAAGTCCTTATGCATATTTGACTAATCAAAAACCTATCAAGACAATGAACAGGGCTGAAAGAAATACAGCAAAACAGTGAAAGGATGAATGTTTTCAAACACACACAAAAATTATAAAAGGGCATCAATTCTATTATTTTGAGCAGTGTTCCTGAGCCATGGAAGCCATTAAACCACTTGTTTAACTTCCTGTGTTTCACTGTTATCCATACAGTAGCATTCGATGGCATCTTTGCCATAGTACCATTCATGTCACAAGTAGTGCTGTTTCTTATTATTATCTACACAACTTGTTTAGCCCCAAATTTTTCCTTACTTTTTCCAAATTATCTTAATACCTGACTGAAACAGGATGCTGAGCAGCATTTCTAATGAAAAGTGGTAACCCTGCAGGTTAGTCTGGTGAACTAGTCAGGATAATGACTTCATGGGCAAAGTTAGTTGCTAGTGAAAGCTTAAATAATTCACAGAAGTAAAAATTCAGTCATCCATCCTATGATCTATGCTTTAAAGAACTCAATATCAAGCAATTGAAATAAGGGAGACAACAAAAGAAGGGAAGAGAGTTAGAGAAAGAATGTGCATTCATACCAATTACATGTACTTATGGCTAGTTTCAGTAGGGTACAGGAATTGTGCCAAAGATTTAATGGACAAGATGAGTTCTGAAAGGGGATTGGAGACAGCTGGAGAGGTGACATCTGGCAGGTGTATGGTGAAGCAGTATCCCATGATAGCTACCTGCCATTACTGCTTTGGGCACACTCAATTAAATGGAGCATCTCTGAGCTAACCCCAAAGACACCCAGCAACTGTGTGTTCTTACAACAAAGAGAAGCTGCTTTGTTCTTTCCACATGCTTCAGGAACTTGTGTCCTCTTCCTTTATTTTCATGTGCACCTTCAATCAATCCTGGAAGATCAGCAACTGTGATCTAAGAGAGGGAAAAATGCCCACACTACAAATTTTAATCAGGAAGAGATGAGTTTGTGTGTTACTGATTCACTCAACAGCGTACCAAAATTATCACTTCCCTTAAAATGCATTTGATTAATCCTGTCCCATTCTAAAAGTGAAAGGTAGGTAACTTGCTTAAACAAGAGAGGTATTTAAACAAACCGAAGTGACAAGCCACACACAAGGCCAGGCTCATCACAGCTATAGAATGCTTGTTCATGATAGTGAACACAATTCTAAAGATCTTTTAAACTTTCCATGTAAAGCCAGTGGAGTCAGAAACTGCATATGTCACATGACTCCTCAGTTCTTTGAAAAATAAAGCCATTACAGATTAATGTACAAGGTCTAAACCATGATATGAAGAAAGCTACAAGCTTTTAGGGGAAAATAAGAATGAAAAATGGTGTTAATTCTATTTTTATTCATGTTTTTGTAAAAAAAAAAAGACTACTATTAGCTACAATAATTTTGTTAATAGCCTTGTAAGGTTACTTAATGGGCTTTTTAAAAAACAGTATTTTACACTGATCCTGTAGACACAAATCACCAGGGAAAACTTGACCAGGGATAACAGGTTATATTCTTATCCATTTCTTACTGTCTATTTGGACAAGATTAAAGCATCATCTCCCAAGACCTTTTTACTCATTTCACATCTGTGAACTCAGCTGTTGCACTGCTGTCATCGGACACCTCTTGACGCAAGTCTTTCATCTCAAGAGTGACATTTCTAGCATTACCCCATGCATCAGATATAGATTTTTTTTTACACATCAAAGTAAAGATCAGGTGGTATAGAATTAGATGTTTGATATATTCCTGAATGAACCCAGTCCTTGATTCCTTCATCAAAACCCAGTAGTGTGGATCACACATTAGGAAACATAATCTCCTGGATGAAACATGAACAATTTTAAGATTATTTTAGGAAGACTGTGTTCAGGAACCATTAAAACATCCTCAGTAACAGTGCAATTCTATGCAGAGTTACTCCTGTCTAAGTCCATTGACTTCAGTGGACGTTGTTGTTCAGTCGCACAGTCGAGTCCGACTCTTCGCGACCCCATGGACCAGATCACACCAGGCCTTCCTGTCTTCCACCGTCCTCTGAAGTTTGCTCAATTTCATGTTTGTTGCATCTATGACACTGTCTAACCATCTCATCCTTTGCCGTCCCCGTCTTCTTTGACCTTCAATCATTCCCAGCATCAGGGTCTTCTCCAGTGAGTGCTCCCTTCTCATTTGGTGGCCAAAGTATTTGAGCTTCAGTTTCATTATCTGGCCTTCCAGGGAACAGTCAGGGTTGATTTCTTTTAGGATTGACTGATTTGATCTTCTTGCAGTCTAAGGGACTCTCAAGAGTCTTCTCCAGCACCATAGTTCAAAAGAATCTATTCTTCGGCGCTCAGTGGACTTAGAGTGGTAGAAGTTTTGATCAGAGACTGATCAAGAGAGAGATCTTGGAGTTGTAGTAGATAACTCACTGAAAATGTCGAGACAGTGTGTGACTGCAATAAAAAAGGCCAATGCTATGCTGGAGATTATTAGGAAGGGTATTGAAAACAGATCAGCCAATATCATAATGCCCATATATAAATCAATGGTGCGACCTCATTTGGAATACTGTGTGCAGTTCTGGTCACCACACCTTAAAAAGGATATTATAGCTTTGGAAAAAATGCAGAAAAGGGCAACTCGAATGATAAAAGGGTTGGAACACTTTCCCTATGAGGAAATGTTAAAGTGCTTAGGGCTCTTTAGCTTGGAGAAACGACAACTGAGGGGAGACATGATTGAGGTTTATACGATTATGCATGGGATAGAGCAGGTAGAGGTACTTTTCTCCCTTTCTCACAATACAAGAACTCATGGGCACTCAATGAAATTGCTGAGTGGTTGGGTTAGAACGGATAAAAGGAAGTACTTCTTCACTCAAAGAGTGATTAACACACGGAATTCACTGCCACAGGAAGTGGTGACGGCTACAAGCATGGACGGCTTCAAAAGGGAATTAGATAAGCATATGGAGCAGAGGTCCTTCAGTGGCTATTAGCCACAAGGTATAGGTAGGGGCTCTGGGGCAAGTGATGCTCTGTCTTCTTGGTGCTTTGGGGGGAGGTCAACAGTGGGAGGGCTTCTAATGTCCTGGACCCACTGGTGGACCTCCTGATGGCACTGGTATTTCTGGCCACTGTATGACACAGAGTGTTGGACTGGATGGGCCTTTGGCCTGATCCAACATTGGCGTCTCTTATGTTCTTATGATGCACTGTCCAAATGAACATCCTTTAAAAAACAAATATACAAGGCAAAAATACTGTCATTTCTTAGGGTAAAAAAATCAGTAAAGCCCTGCTCACTAAAGAGGGTCTGAGCATGCCATTTAACATAAGCCTGTACACTTTCTAACCACTCGGTCTTGGCAGTTTTGCCACAGAGTCAGTCCACTGCTATCAGACTTCAAGGTGACTATTTCTCTTCTTAAAATAGCACTGGAGAAATTGCTTAGGAGTTCCTACCTAGGTACAGGGACGTGAGCCCTACTCTCCAAAGTGGGAGGCCCTTATGGCTTCACCACTTACCTACTCCTCTGTAAATCACTCACATGACTGAACAATGGGGTATGTATTAAGAATATAGAACTACAAGAGGGGACCCACAACAAAATGTTGCTGGAGCCCGAGCCCTCTCCAGCATGGTTGAGGCAAGTGGAGCAGCTGGTGGCTGGCTGGCTTTGGTCGCTCCTCCCGTGTGCTGCTGCTCCTGCTGCTGGTGCTGCTTTCTCCTCTCCCTCACCTAACAAAGTTGTGGCTTAAAAAAAAAAAAAGGGAGGGAAAGCATATGAGACAAAAAGCTGATGGGGCAGCCCACCTAGTGGCCGCTCAGTGCTCTGTTTGCGTGCCCACTGAGCTTAGCCACTCCTCCAGTGCTGCTCCTTTGAATAGAAGCCCACGGCAGCCACTGACGGGGCGCAGGACTCCAGCTGTGGGGGGAGGGGGGAGAAGAACGGTGGCCCTGGGAGTCCCCCTACCATCCTCCTGTTTACTGGCAGTCCTGGGGATGGTTCCTGCAGCGACATGGATGGGTCTTGCTGTGGCAGGCCAAGCAAGCAGCAGCTGGGATGGGTATTGCCACCGTGGGTTACCTTGTGGCTCCAATGGCTTTTCCTGGTGGTCCTAGCGGTGGAGTGGACGGCAACAGAGACAGCTGCTTTTCCCGCGGCTCAGTCATCACGCACGTGCAGAGAACGCAGTTTTACTTTTGGGGGTATTTAAGTATTCCCCCTACACTTTTTAAAACATTTTAGATTTTTCTACACACCTGGAGATTGCCCCAAGTGTGAAGAAAAACCTCTTTACCCTCCATGTGCCCCAGATCTGCGGAAATAAGTATCCGCACGCAAGGGGACCCTTGGCTATTAGATATATAGATACTTGTTTAGAGCTGATGTTTTTATTATTAAACACTGTTGTAAAAAATATCAACAGGCAAAGCAAAATAAAGAAGAAACCCAAGAAATTCACTCTTATAACTGTGCACTGATGTGGAAAGTTACTAGGTTAGAAAATCAAGTCATATCTCAATATGGAATACAGATAAAGGGTGCAGTCACACACGCCAGATAAAACGGGGGGGGGGGGGGGGGGGGCTGTTTCTTCCCAC